TGGTGGATTTTTTACTATTTGCTTTATGGATTTTGGCTTTGATTTGCTTACTAGTTATTTTTTTTTGTTGCTGAATTCAGATGAGTATTGACTGCTGAATTGCTTGAGATTACTCACTGCTCAAATTTCTTCTTTTTTGGTTCTATGCTTATCTGTGTTTTGTCACTGTTTGCTCAATTGTTTGGGTTTTGCTGAATAAAAAATATTGTTTGTTGGAAATGGCTTTGACTGAGTTTCTGGATTGACAAATTCATTTTCTTTTTAAAACCAAATAAATTCTCTAATGCCAAACCAAACCATTAGAGAGAGAATTGATTTGGTTTTAGAGATAGAGAATAAATTTTCAAAGAAAGAATATGAATTAAGATGAAGAAGAAATAAAAAAATGAAAAGAAATGACAAAAATAACAATTTTGAAGAAAAAAAATAATAAAACCAATTATAGTTATATGTTACGTTTTAAATCTCATGGAACATTTTCATTTTAACATTAACCACAGAGTATAGTTATGAAGTTAAGCCTTTAATATAACAAAGTTTTTTTAAGATAAGGAAACTCAATCAAATCCATAAGATGACACAAAAGCTTAACCCAAATGTCGATTATTATTTGAAACTTGGGAGAATTTAAAAAAGGAGTGATCCACCAATAAATAAATATATTTATTGTTTGATACTATTATAAAAATAATTAATAAAAATTTTTTATTAAATTAGTAAAGAGGAAATGACAATGGTTTGTATGACTTTACTTCCAATTAGTATATGATCTTTATTACATGCAACATGCAATTGTCATATATACAAACAAAGAAGACAAAATATATCTACATTTAATTAAAAAAAATATGTACATTTCTTTTTCTTTAAGGAAATTTCTTAAACAAATTGTATAATTAAGCATATACCGTAAACCATTATTCCTAAATTTTTCACCCATTATTTTAAATTTATTTTTTAAGGAATTTATGCTCAAAATAAGTGATTTTTTTTTAAAAGAAATGTTCTTTATGAAAACAAGAGAATAAACAAATTAAGACTTTACTTTATAATTGTTATCCCTCCTTTTATTTTTTATTTTTTAAAAACTTTCTTTAGATTCAAGTAATTTAAATAAAAGAAAAAGTAATTTAAACTATTATTTAACACCAAAAAATGATGCTAATAAATTTTTAACTTAATAGCAAGGAAAAGATCTTAGATCATATGTGTGAGGTCTTAGATTTAAATTTTATTGTGCTAGATTGTTTAGTTACATTCTAATTTATTAGTTGATTATTCAATTATTGTAATTTAATTATGATATAATAGTTTAATATTTAATTGATTATATAGACGCATTATTTTATTATGATTATAACTTGAAAGAAAGAACAATAAAGAATGATTAGAAAATATATCCAACACATTTTCTATTTTGAAACATAACTCATGTTATTACTTGAATATGATATTATTTTTTTTTTTATAAAAGAGTCATAATCTAAAAAAAAAAAAAAAAAGAATTATAAGTATTGATATTTAAATTTTATATTTGTTAAAAATAATTACAAAAATAAGCTGAATTAAATCCTAAATTCATTCAATACGACATTAAATCTTAACCAACAATAAAAAATTCTCAAGAGTTAATTATCTTGACATGAATTAAAATAAAAACACGCACACTTGGGCCATTGCCCATTGCCCATTGCCCATTTTACAGGTGACTACCAGGGCAAAGCATATCATTACAGGTGACTACTAGTGATGGAAAAATGGTGGAGTTGGGTAACGTGGCCTCGGTGAATTGGCAGTTTGATCAACCTTTTTATTGAAAAAAGAACTTGAGGAAAATTTTGGAATTCCTGCATTCATGCCCTTTGAGTGTGCATGTTTTTTAAGCAAATTTGGTCTATGTTTTGGTGTTCCCTTTTTTTAACCAAAGCAACTATTAGCAAAATTGTGCCTCATTTTTACAAATTTGCGTCTCTTTTTTCTTTTTTTTTTAATGTCGTTTTTGCATTAAAATAAGAAAAAAAGAAGTTTATAATGGTCAAATCATAGCCTGATTAAAGTTTTCAATTTTGGACTCAATTTAATCAAAAGATCTTCAAAAAAAAATAAATTCTGTGGGTGCTCATTTGGATTTAATTATATTTTTATTACGATTGAATTTATCGTATTATTAATTAAATTTAAATATTAATTTTAATGTGATATATTTAACATAAATATTTTATTCAAATTTTTTTAATCATAATTATAATAATTTTATTATTATTTACTATAATTAATCTTACCATCTATATAAATAAAGTCTTAGTCTCCTTAAAGTTTCCTCAAGGTTTCTCTTCCTTGGAGTTTCCTTAGGGTTTCTCTTCGTGATAGGGAGTGAGTCTTGTTTTGTCACCAGCGAGTTTATCGGCTCAGGATCTCCAGATTGGATCATCTTTGAGTTTAGGTTCAGAACAGACACGTCCGTTGTTGTGGGTACTCCTTGATAACTAACTCCTGTTCCAACCTGTCTCTGATCCAATTCATGATTGGGAAGTGATTTGAGAACCAGCAGAATAAAAATAAACAACTATTTTTGTAAATAATACTCGTAATACCTAGGTTAGTGGTAATAATTCTTTGGTGGCGATTGGTTTCCCAAATCCCAGGTTTTTTGGCCATTAATGTTTGAGATGAAATAAAAGTAATTTTGTTTAATCGAAATAAATATTATTTTAATGGATATTGATCTGAATCATTCCCCCAAAATTAAGAAAATATAACTAGGGTCCTAAATGACAAAACTTTAAGATTTTGGGCTTCTAAGAGTCAATGGATTGGCTTAATAGTTTCTCCCCCGGAATTAGAAATGAACTGGGCTTAGTTCACTAAGCTTGGGCTTGAAATTTGTGCTTCAAGATTGAGCCCAAATCTTCAATTCAAAGAAATTACAAGCCTTGAGCTTCACACACAACACCAAAAAAAAAAAGGAAAAAAGGGGACATGATCAAGGATAAAAAAAAAATCCAGATTCCCATCTTTTGAAGAAACCTGTTGTTAAATGCATATTCTTAACTTAGCAAGATATCCATGTTTTTTTTTGGCAGCCATATGACCTATGTTTAAGCTATGCATTTCATTTTAAACAATATTGGAGATTGTGAATTCCCAAATAATAAAGGAAAACAAGGGTTGTTTTCAACATAGGTCATCTATACATTGAAAATTTAATTGTGGATTCTATGAAGATAAGAGAGTGCAGTATCAGCCTATCAGATGCCACAAAGAAATCCAATGAATCCAAAAGGTCAGGATCAGTAGGTCATTGCAAACAAAATGAGATCAATAATAAACTGAAATAACGCATGATTTTAAAATGGGAAGGAAGAACAAGAGCAATCGTATAGATTCCAAGTTCAAGACTCCACTGACATGGAAATATATGAAGACAATATCTACCGGCTGTTTCCTCAGGTCACTAATAGAAGTTACATGGATAATTGAGTTCAAAGATCAAATGTCAGTCTTGGAAGCAAAACAAGGAAAGAAGATGGACAATCCACAAATTCTGGTGATTCCATAGCCGGCACAAGGCAATGTAATTCCTCCAATGGAGCTTTCGCAAGGCTTAGTTAAACATGGATTCAAATTGTTAACATGGAGTTTAATCATAGCAATGCCCTGGATATATTGGCAATGAAAGATGTGGGTGATCAGATTTGCCTTGTACGGATTCCAGATGGACTTGGATCAGCAGAGGATAGGAAACAAGAGAAGATATCAGAAGCAATCTTGCAGGTCACGCTAGGGAAAGTGAAGGAGCCTATAGAAGAAATGAATGGATCAGAAAGCAAGATAAATTGTGTCCTTGCACAGATCAGAGCTATAGGCCCACTGTTGGCACCAAACCGGCTTGGAGACTCAATCGGAAACTTAAGTCGAGGAGATTCAAGTTGTCTGAAATAGCAGAACCAACAGGTACCACAATCAGTCCTTTATGTTGCATTTGGCAGGTTCACCGTTTTTGAGACAACTCAATTTCAAGAGCTTAAACTGGGGCTTGAACTTACAGGTTGACCATTTATTTGGGTCGTGCGTTCTGATATAACAGATGGAAGAAATGATGCCTACCCAGAAGGGTTTCAAGAAAGAATAGCTGCTAGAGGGAAAATGGTTGGTTGGGCACCTCAAAGGAAGGTTCTTGCTCATTTTTCCGTTGCTGGCTTTATAAGCCATTGTGGTTAGAACTCAACAATTGAAGGTGTAAAGCAATGGAATCCCTTTCTTGTGCTGGCATTTGCTGATTAGTTCTTCAACCAGAACTACATTTGTGACTATTGGAATGTTGGATTGGGGTTCATCAGAGATGGAAGAGGAATCATTACAATTTACAAGAGAAGAAATTAGGAGTAAGCTAGAGCAACTGTTAGGCAATGAAAAGTATAAAGAAACAGCTCTGGCACTCAAGGAAACTGTCACGAGCAGCATCAGAGAAACAGGTTGCTCTGACGAAAACTTTAAGGATTTTGTTGAATGGATAAATAAATAGGTAAAATATCCTTGGCCTTGATCATGGATGAATTCCTTTCCAGCTATAAGTCTTTTCCTTGTTTAACTTAGAAGTAATTAGTAAAACTAATTGATAGATATCCTCCAAAAAAAAAAAGAAAGAAAAAATGATTAGAACTATATATATGAAGCCACTGATACTCAAGGAAGGATCCAAGACTGGGAGTTCATGGCTTAAGTCTAGTCATGCTACATAGAGATCGCATTAAACTTACCAAGAAGAATTAACTAAGCTTCAAAATTCCAACGATGAGATAAAAGCAGACACTTAGGGTGTGTTAGGTGCATAAGATTAGGATAAGATGATATTATGATTAGTATTAGTTAATAATGTTATACTATCTTATATTTGATATTTGCAAGGATTAAGATATGAAAATTTATTTATTGATCAAAGTTACTCCGTCTCAAATTTTGTACAATTTAAATTATTGATACAATTTTTAAGAGTATAATAAGACATGTAAGTTTAATTTTATGGATTAAAAATAAACGTATCTATTTTGGAAAGATTGAATCATCCAATGCTAAGAGGATGATTAATCCTCCTTACAATTGTATCCCTTTCTTTAGATTCAAATCAAATATAGTATAAGATGATTACCATCCTATGCATCAAACATGACCTTAAGATGCCTTTATATCAGATATAGCACTTTGTGTGGCTAGTTCTTCTTTTCTTTTTTACCTTGTCGACAATATTCACCAGGGTTACAAGGTCTCTGATGAGGATTGGCTTGCTTGCCCACTGGGTTGTTTGGTGGAGAGTTCCCACGTTGAAAAGCCTTGTAGTTGATACTATCATCCGTTGCAGCAGCTTCTGTGCCTAACATCTCTCGTTTATGGCCTCTCAGATTTTTGTTGACTAGAAGAGAATTCATTGCTGTGTTCCCAGGGATTAGTGGGCTACCAATATCTTCACCTCCAACACCTCTTTTCCCATTTGTAAGCACCAGAAGCAGCATAAGGCAGACTTTGAACGGATAGAACCTATAACATATAGCAAATCATAAGCTAGCATAAAACTTCCAGAGAATTGCAATGCAAGATACATGTTTCTATATTTATTTAGACAAATACATCCCGAGGTGGAAGTACTGTAGCAAGTAGGTCACCGTAGCAAAATACAACAATTGGTACCGAGAGAAAATATTCAATATTATATATAAAGAAGGTCTATCTTTGGGAACAAGTCATTTTGTTTCTTATACGTTCACTTAGGTCTATCTGCCATGTTAGTAAAGGATCAGAGTAGTGGATTGCTACATGGAGTTAAAGCTAGTCAAGCTGGTTACAGAGATACCTTTCTTTTGCCCATGAAAATATTCTATTTGGCAAAATGAATAGGATTAACAGTGAAAGGGTAAAGCGTATGCACATAGAAATTAGCTCTGGACAGAAAATAAATTTTGAGAAGTCAGGCACTGTTTTCTAGCTGCAACAAGAGAGAAGATAAACACAATGAGTTCAAAGGCATTTTTGAGATGCAAGTGACTGTAAACTCAGACATATTTGGGTATTCCATACATGGCTGGAAAAGAAATCTTCATCAAATCAGTTTTCCACTTACACCGTGAACTGTTTTTTATGTTCCAACTGCCAAAATCACTGTCTCAAGAAATCAAGAGCTTGATAAGCAATTACTGGTGATAACAAAGGGATTCATTGGTTGAATTGGAAGACAGTGTCCGAACCCAATCACACGAGTGGTATGCTCCCTACCTCTTAGATTTTAACTCAAGTATACAACTTGAAAAAGAATCATATCTGGTTGGAGTTGGAAGGCAATCTCTACTCGGTATGCACAACGGAAATTTCAACTACTACTGTATATTAAACAACAAAAGTGAGAACAAGAGAGAGAAAGAGAGTACCATCCTCTGCCTTCCCTTTGGTTTGTAATTGGTTTTGTGTTGGACACATCAGCTTCTTGAGCAAATTCATGGGTCTTGCTTTTTTAAAAGTATAAAATGAGGCTTGGAACAGATCCCTTTATCTTTTCCATCATCTTTCTTCCGATAGAAATTACCTTTCCTCCTTGGCTGACCCTGCAAAGGCAGAGAACCACCTCGAGAACCTTCGCAAGGACCTTGCTTGTTTCTTCCACCCCCTTTAATAGTGGCAACGAAAAAGTTGACATCTTTCTGACAGTCAGGCAAACATGAAGCTATGATCAGGTTATCAGCTCGGGCTATATAACAAGAAATGTCAGCCCATATAAAAGGAATGTAATTGAAATCAACTAAGATTGTAGAAGATCCATGCCAGTTTCCTAAAATAATGTTTGAAATATTACAAAGGACTAAAAAAATCTTAATTAGACTGACATATATTCTTGAATTAATTTGTCACAATAGCTAGCTCTATAAAATACAGGGCAGAGGAAAAAAAAAAATCCTACTGCCAAAAAATACACCATTTGACATAAATACCATCATCATCACCAGAAAACCATAGTCAAAACTCAAATACTCATCACCAAAAATATTTCCCAAATCACATCTGAAAATACCCAAAAGAATCACAAAAGAAAAAAAAAAAAACAAAACAAAACAAAAACTAATGGCTGTAAAATCCACTTGCAGGCAGAATTGTTAAACATCCAACCAAAAATCAATCGGCTGATCACGTGTAAGCAGAGAAAAAGCCTATCAGACGACGGTTACAGACAGAAAAACAGACAATAACAACAAAACATATCTGAACTCTGATGCGATGCTAAAACATCCAATCTAAAACCAATAACGGTGAAAAGACCCAACTTAAATATAAGACAAAAAAAAATCCAATATTTAACATATTCCAAATAACACAACTTTAACCATAATTATCGATCTATCAAATTAAAGGAAAAAAAAAACTTGTTTATGATTTATCCTCCCAAAAATAGTAAAAATTTTGTTGATAGAAAGTTGCTGCTGTAAAACATTTTGGTTTTTAGGTAACTAAAAGACAGACAAACCTTTGTTAGAGGCCAAGAGTTATGAAACTAGGGAGAGAAGTGAGAGAGATAACGCCGCTAATGACCGGCAGGCGAACCGAGGCGTAAGGGGAAATCAGTTGGCGATGGATGCCGAGATTTTAAAGAAGAGATTTTGGGAAGAAAGGAAAGAGAGATGAAAATGATCAAAGGAACAAATACGACGGGGTAATGCTAGGGGTTTTCTTTAATAAGTTTACACGGCATTAAAATACAACGTGGGAATTCCCGGGGCTCTCCACAATGAACTTGGAGAGGATTAGAGTAGAAATTAATATGATAAAAATATTCTAATAAGGTCATAAAATGAAAAGAGCGAAAACGCTCAATAAACTTCTCTTTTTCTTTTCCAACCATCAGGATTTGATTCTTTTATTTATTTCTGTTTTATTAGGAGACGAAATTTTTTATTATTAGATATTTTGAATGAAACTTTTATTTGTTTCTTAAAAAAATCACAGAAATTTATTCGATATTCCAAATGTAATCACTAATCTTTCCGAAAAAGGGATGGAACAAGTGATCAAAGTTAAATTGAATTATTAAAAAAATAGGACCAGATGAGCATATAATCTGTCATGACAAGTTGACATCCTTAAAAGCATACGCAGGCATCCCTTTATATGGCTGGGTTTTTTTTTTTTTAGTTTCTGCTTTTTTTTGTTTTTATTTATTTATATTAGTATTTTTATCTAGGTGTGAAAACATAAATTAGCAATAGAAGTTTCCATAAGCACCCATTTGGTTTTTTTTAATATTTTTTAAAATAAAATAAATTTTATAAAAAATAGAGTCATGAGAGATTAAGGTGTCAAAATAATAAATATTTGACTAATTTTGATGCATCCATTCAATAAAAATAGTTTTTTGAATTGAAATCGGATCGAAGAATGTTATTTTGTCTTTTTAAAGATCGGATTGAAAGTGAAGTCAAATGTTTTGTCCGTTCTTTATGGACAGTGGAAAGCAAAGTAAAGCACTTGAAAACATAACAACTTCAAAACATATGACCACACAAAATAAAATGGACAAAAAAAAAAAGATGGCTAAATTATAAAAAAGGCATAAAATAAAATCAAGAAATATATCTCCATAGGTACCCATAAAAAATGTTTACTTGTTGAATGCATTGAAAAGATCTAATGAAAATGGAATTAACAAGATAAGAAAAAAAGTGGGTAAAAGCTTTTAAGCTTTATCTATGGAACCAACCAGGGATTGAACAAACAAAACCCAAAAGCACAAAATCTTTTATTCTCTCTTTCTTTGTTCTCCTTCCCTTTGCTCACTCTCTGCATTCCTTTTGTTTTTGTTTGTTCATATTACAATCTTCAAGCAGGCAGACTGCTGGCTGGCACATAGAGAAAGCGCCAGGACAGTTCCAAAAGCCTGCTCATTTTCTTACAATCTACTATGTAAAGACTGAAACGCCCTTCAAATGTTTGCACTTTTTTAATGTATAATGATGGTATTATTATGCATATGAAAATGGCAAAATGGGTATTGTCTTCTATACTCACTAAAAATAAAAGAAGAAAAGAAGATATATGCTATTAAATTAGTTGAAGTAGTAAACATTAATTATGTGAATTGATAAATTATTCAAAAATGATTTTGGTAGTGTTTAATATTGAAATTGAAGGAAGAATATTGCATAAAGTTTTGGACCAGTATGATATTGCTTTCCCACTCTCCCTTCTAAGTAAACTGAATTTGATATATCAAATTAAAGTTAAAAAGAATAATATATGAATTAAAAAATTTATATGTGTACTATATATTTTAATTAACTGTAAATAACAATTCAAGTTTTTTTTAATAGGTAGAGGAAGAAAAAATTATTTTTTTTTCATTTTTTTTGATAGTAGAGAAATAAGATGAAAGGAAAATGAATTAATTAATTGCACTTTTTCCTTTTTTTATATCCAATTATTTCAAATATGAGAAAAAATATTTATTCAACTTCAATTAATAATTTTATTTACAAACTTTACCTTTAATTGTTTCTCTATTTTTTATTTTCATATAAAACACAATAAAAAAATAAAGCTCCATTTGGTTTGAGAAAGTATTTTTTGTTTTTATTTTTTATTTTCATTTTTTAGAAAATAATTTTTATTTTCTATTTTTTTGTTTTCTAAAAAATGTATTTGATAAAAGAAAGTAAAAATTATTTTCTAAAATGCAAAAATAAGGAAATGAATAAAATATTCAATAATATTACTATTAATGTCATTTAATTATAAATATAATATATATTTATTAATTAATAACATTAAAAAGTGTTTAAATATGATAATTGCAAAACGAAAGAA